GATAGATAGATAGATAGATAGATAGATAGATAGATAGATAGATAGATAGATAGATAGATAGATAGATAGATGGTGTGTGTGGGGATAGATAGAGGGGGTAGGTGGGACACTACTTGTCTGTTTCACACACTAGCCAAGCCTCCCTGGAGGTGGCCAGTGTGGGGGTAGGGGCCTGCGAACATCACTCCAATGTCTCCAGTCCCTCTGACCCCCGTACCTTGGGCACCGTCTCCCCCAGCAGCATGCCCACGGCTTCCCCGCCCCCATGGCCATGGCTTCCCCTTCCCCCACCCCGTGCCTATGGCTCTGGGACAGCCACCCTCCCCGCCCCGATGCTGGCCCCCCTACCGGGGGCGTTGAGAGCGGTGCCCCACCCCGACACCGAGCACTGCTCGCCCGGCTCCGCACATTGGGAGGCCAGGCCCAGCGGCCGGACGTAGCGGTTGAGCGTGGCCGGGGTCTGCAGCTTCAGCAGCATGATGTCGTTGTCGTGGTCCGTGCAGTTGTAGCCGGGGTGGATGATGGTTTTGGCCACTCCTTTGTACTGCTCGGTGTCCTCGCGGACATACAGGTTGTAATCCCCCAGACGCACGTGGATGGGGCTGCAGGGGAAGCAAAGAGCTGGATTCACCTGTCAGGACACTGACCCCAGGACTGAGACGCCTGAATCCGGCAGGGTCTCAGCTTTCTGTTAAAACAAAAATTGCCTTTCTAGAACTTGTGGTTTTGGAGAAAAAGTGGGGAAAGGTCTGAGACAGGGACACTGCCTGGGTCTGCAGAGAGCCTGAGCCCGTCGCTGGGAGAGGGGGGAACTGCCCTGAGTGCAGGGCCGGCTCTAGGTTTTTTGCCGCCCCAAGCAAAAAAAATTTTGGCTGCCCCCACCCCAGGCCTAGGCTCCCCCCGCACCTCTCTGCCGCCCCAGCCCTGGGCTCTCCCCCCACCTGCACCCCCTGCCGCCCCAGAGCTGGGCTCTCCTCTCCACCCCCTGCCGCCCCAACTCTGGGCTCTCCCCACCACCTCACCCGCACTCCCTGCTGCCCCAGCCCTGGGCTTCCCCCCACCAGTGCTGACTCCGCCCGCTCCCCCCTCGCCTCCAGTCGGTCTGGCGCTGGCAGGGTCGGGGTAAGTAGGGGGGCTCCCGGGCCGCGCCTCAGCTCAGGGTCCCTCCAGCCGGGGCTCCCACCTCCAGGACCGGCCGGGACCCAGGAGGGCAGAGCCGGGGGACCGCCCAGCAGAGGGCTGAGGAGCCGGGGCAGGGCAGCCCCAGAGGGAGCGTAGCCCCAGAGTGCGGGACGCAGGCCCCACACGGCAGCGCCCCAGGCACTGGTCCCCACTATGACCCCACTGCTGCTGCTGCTCCTGGCCGCCCTGCCACAGTCCCTGGGTGGCTCGGGCCACTTCGCCAAGTCCCGGTTGCGGCACTGGGGGGCGGCCGCCCTGCAACACCTGCAGGTGGCTCCGTCCGCCCCGCGGGGCGGTCCCCAGCCCGAGTGTCCCGCACTCGGAGCCCACCCGGGCATAAGGTGCGCGCACTGCTCCCCGACGTGAACTGCAGCGGCCCCAGTGTGCCCCCCGTATAGGACGCGCTGCTGCTTTCAGGCCCGGCTCTTGGCTTTTGCCGCCCCAAGAAAAGAAAGAGGGGAGGAAAAAAAAAAAGGCTGGCTGGAATGCCGCCCCTGAAAATTTGCCGCCCCAAGCACATGCTTGGTTTGCTGGTGCCTGGAGCCGGCCCTGCCTGAGTGTCACTTTCACAGTGACGCTGCCTGGGTCTATAATGCAGCAGGTTTAAAACAAACAAAGGAAAGTATTTCTTGAAACAATGCACACTCAACCTGTGGAACTCCATGCCAGAGGATGTTGTGAAGGCCAAGACTATAATGGTTCAAAAAAGAACTAGATAAGTTCATGGAGAACCAGAAGCTGGGAATGGGCGACAGGGGATGGATCACTTAATGATTATCTATTCTGCTCATTCCCTCTGGGCCCTGGGCATTGGCCACTGTTGGCAGACAGGACACTGGGCTAGCTGGACCTTTGGTGTGACCCAGTCTTACCGTTCTTATGTAACCCAAACCACACCCCAGGCCCCACCCACCCCACACTCAGCCCCACCTACCCAGTCAGGCAGTGGGCTGCAGTCAGGACCCATCTACTGCTGATGAGGGTGGCGCCGCAGTTGTACTTGGAGCGTTCGAAGATGGCTGCCTGCCAGGGCTGTGCGTGGGGGTGGCATGGATGCCCCTTGAGCTTTAAACTGCCCCAGGCTGCAACTGGAAAACGAAGAGGCAGATATAGTGGCAGATCTCCATCTCGCCCCCAAGGCCCCTCCTGGGATACTGGAGAGCAGGGGCTGAGTTGGGTGAGCAGTGCACGGGGGGAGGGCTGAGCAGGGGGACAGGCCCGAGCTGAGATCAGGGCCCCATAGCACTGGGCGCTGCCCAAATACACAGCCAGAGACAGTCTCTGTTGAAGCTGAGATCAGTGCAGGGCAGCGCCACAGCCAGGAGTAGAAAAGTCAGGCACCCAGAGTCCCCATCTGCAGAGGGGTCGCAGCCACGTGTGCGACGGGGCGTGTACGTGGCGCTGGGTCGCGGCCACGTGTGCGACGGGGCGTGTACGTGGCGCTGGGTCACAGCCACGTGTGTGACGGGGCGTGTATGTGGCGCTGGGTCGCGGCCGCGTGTGCGACGGGGCGTGTACGTGGCGCTGGGTCACGGCCGCGTGTGCGACGGGGCGTGTACGTGGCGCTGGGTCGCGGCCATGTATGTGTTGGGCTGTGTGACATTCTGTACCTTGGGGGAAAGCCCTGTAACCCCCATATTCCTCATTTATATATAATTGTGATATTGCATATAAAGCAGGCGGTGTGAGATATCAGGGGAAAGGTTATGATCTGCTGAAAGTCATTTCTCTATCCATAGATGTGTATCATTAATGCAGATGGAGTTAGGAGAATTGTGTTGTATGGTGGTCACTGAAACATGCTGTAAGTTGGGGAATCAGCCAGATATTAGCTCCCCACATGCAACAGCAAGGAAAGTAACCAAGGCCCAGGCAGGTGTCAAACAACCCATCAACAGCCATTGTCCAACAAGGGAGCTACAACGCAATGACTCACCTGCAAGAGGCCACACCAGGGGAATTGCTCAACCTTGCCTGGAGACTCAGCAATGCCCCAGACATGCCTGGACTTGTGTTCTCCAAGCACATGGACTGAGGGTATAAAACAGAACACGGGGGCCCCATGCTGGGCCTTTCTCCTGCCCCCACCTATGCTTCAATCAACCAAGACACTGAGAAGACTGAAGACTCCAACAGAGGAGACTGGCCCAGCTTTCAAGGGTGAAATCCGTATAGTATGAACTGGAATATCCAGGAGAGGTGAGAAAAACTGCTTCATCTAGATGCTGCCCAGTCGTATAGGGTTGAGAGTTTAGACTCTGTGCTTATATTTTATTTTCGTAACTGCAAGCGGGCGCAGACTCCCCCGGCGGCGCCTCCTGCTGGTCGTCTCAGGGAATTAGCTCATCCAGCCTCCGCAGTGCCCTCTGCAGGCCGCTGTCCCGCTTGCCCCCCGTGTCCCTCCCGGACCTGGTGCCCTGTTGTCTGGGGTGTTGCCCCCTGGCAGTAACCCCTCCCAGCTCTGGGTCTCCCCCTCCCAGGGGAACCCCCACCCCCTACCCCCACTTCCCTCAGTCTTGGCTACTGCCCAGTCTCCATCTAGCCCCCATTCACTGGGGCAGACTGCAGCGTATCATGGACTTGCTGCCTCTGCAACCCCCAGTACCTAATAGGCCTTACCAGGCCTGCAGCCTGGGGCTTTCCTAGGCCGGAGCTCCCCGGCTCCCTTGGCCTGTCCCCAGCCCTGCTCCACTCCAGATACCTGCAGCCAGGCCCTTCCCTTTCTGAACACAGAGAGAGACTGCTGAATTCCTGGCTCACAGCCTTTTCATACAGGCCAGCTGGGGCCTGACTGGGGTGTGGCCCAGCTGCGGTCACTTCCCCAATCAGCCCAGATTTTAGAGCTGCAGCCCTCCTCCAGGGCTGCTTTTACCCCTGCAGCCCTCCTTCAGGGCTGATTTCAAGCCCTTCAGGGCAGGAGTAGGTGTCCACCCCCCTGCAGTAACTAACTCTGACTTTTTGCCTATCACTTTAATATCACTTAAAATCTAGCTTTTGTAGTCACTAAACTTCTTAACCGTTTATCTTTACCAGTGAGTTTGCCTGAAGTGTTTGGTGAATCTGCTCAGGTGTACAAAGGCTGGTGTGTATCCACTTTCCACTGTGGAAGTGGTGAACCAATTAATAAATCTGCACTGCTCGTCTTGAGCAGTGCGGGATGGTATATTCTGGGGTACAAGGCTGGGAGCTGGGGGGATTTGGCTGGTGCCTGTCTCTGTGTGATTTATGAGTGGCTCTGGGGCATTCATGCAATCTAGCTGGGTGTGGGGCTCCACATGCTGTTGTGCTGAGTGATAACAGCACCTGGAGGGGTTTGCTGCTTGTCACTAGCAAGGCCTTGTGAGAGACAGCCCAGGGTGGAGAGTTAAGGGGACACAGCGGTCCCACAGTCCCAGGCTGCACCCCAGATATCCCATCACAGGGTGTGTATAGAGCACTGGATCACGGCCATGTGTGCGATGGGACGTGTACGTAGCGCTGGGTCAGGGCCATGCGTGCGAGGGGGCGTGTATGTAGCGCTGGGTCAGGGCCATGTGTGCGATGGGACGTGTACGTAGCACTGGGTCACGGCCATGTGTGCGACGGGTCGTGTACGTAGCACTGGGTGAAGGCCATGTGTGTGATGGGACGTGTACGTAGCGCTGTGTCGTGGCCATTGGTGCGACGGGGTGTGTACGTAGCGCTGGGTCAGGGTCATGTGTGTGATGGGACGTGTACGTAGCGCTGGGTCGTGGTCATGTGTGTGATGGGACGTGTACGTAGCGCTGGGTCAGGGCCATGTGTGTGATGGGACGTGTACATAGCGCTGTGTCGTGGCCATTGGTGCGACGGGGTGTGTACGTAGCGCTGGGTCAGGGTCATGTGTGTGATGGGGCGTGTACGTAGCGCTGGGTCGTGGCCATGTGTGCGACGGGTCGTGTACGTAGCGCTGGGTCAGGGTCATGTGTGTGATGGGACGTGTACGTAGCGCTGGGTCGTGGCCATGTGTGCGACGGGGCGTGTACGTAGCACTGGGTCAGGGTCATGCGTGCGACGGGGCGTGTACGTAGCACTGGGTCAGGGCCATGTGTGCGACGGGACGTGTACGTAGCACTGGGTCGTGGCCATGCGTGCTACGGGGCGTGTACGTAGCGCTGGGTCAGGGCCATGTGTGCGAGGGGGCGTGTACATAGCGCTGGGTCACGGCCATGCGTGCGATGGGGTGTGTACATAGCTCTGGGTTATGGCCATGTGTGTGATGGAATGTGGACATAGCGCTCGGTCAGGGCCATGTGTGCGACGGGGCATGTATGTAGCGCTGGGTCAGGGCCATGTGTGCGATGGGGTGTGTACGTAGCGCTGGGTCGTGGCTATGTGTGCAATGGGGCGTGTACGTAGCGCTGGGTCGTGGCCATGTGTGCGACGGGTCGTGTACGTAGCACTGGGTGAAGGCCATGTGTGTGATGGGACGTGTACGTAGCGCTGGGTCGTGGCCATGTGTGCGATGGGGCGTGTACGTAGCGCTGGGTGAAGGCCATGTGTGTGATGGGACGTGTACGTAGCGCTGTGTCGTGGCCATTGGTGCGACGGGGTGTGTACGTAGCGCTGGGTCAGGGTCATGTGTGTGATGGGACGTGTACGTAGCGCTGGGTCGTGGCCATGTGTGCGATGGGGCGTGTACGTAGCGCT